TATGACTGTTAACATGGTTAGCTGCACACACACACATGCACACAACATGAAAGCACAGTCATTCCGATAATGATACATATGTGAATTTCCTTGAAACTGGCCAGTGGAAAACATTACACACACACACACACATACACACCAGTAAATAAGAACAGGTGAACTGTAAACTATAAATACAACATTTTGTGTTTGCATACAGTATGCCTACATCTAATAATATTCTGTAAATCTGTGAGATGTATTGCTTACGTGTTTTTGCTATTTGAGGAAGCTCTGACGTTAATACAGTTCCTGGCCTACATTGCTGCCTCTGATATAACACTTATTTATAAGAAAATCCACTTTTGGTGTATAATTATACTTCCTAGAATAGCTAATATCAGCCCCCAGAGAACATGTCTGAGCCTGCTGCATTCAGCTTAGACCCTGTAGAGCACATGTGTAGGTGGGGAGAGAAACAGCAATAAATGATGGGATTATAATGAGGAGAAAAGGGTTAAGGGGCATCCATCATAAAATATCATCATCATAAAATATAAAATGTCTCATGGCCCAAATGCATTATGGTCAATTAAGACCATATTTTAAAATGCAGAAAATAGTTTTTCTATTTTTTTCTGTATAATGTAAGTTTATGAACTAGCATTAACTTGAGCCACTTGCAGGGCAGTTCATATACATCCATGCTATTTACAGCGTGTTGACCTCAGTAATTAGATTAGATTAGATTCAACTTTATTGTCATTATCCATGTACAAGCACAAGGCAACGAAATGCAGTTTACCATCTAACCATAAGTACAATAACAGCAGTGAAGAGTGCGCAGTATCTACAGTATGAGCAGTCAGAACTAATTTACCAATGGATATGTACAGTTGATATTTACAGTAAGATATGTAGGGTAAATATCAATAATAGCTGTATTCTAGCATTAGCTTAGCTAGCCTTACTAGCTATTAGAAGAGTTGGATCTCCCATGATTTTGTCTTTGAGTAATATTTTTGATCAATGTTTTTGTACTTGTTTTAATTGTATAACATCTTCCTGCCCTGGGACTTACATATGAAAATTTGCATTCTGGCTAAATCTGACAAATTTACATGCTTGATGTTAATTAATGTGTATTTGTCCCCAAAAAATAAAGAAAGATACATACATACAACATAACCGCAATATCCATGGTTTGACTCATCAATATAGCATGGTTTGTGTCAGACACACACCAGCTAGTGGAATATTTGCCTAAGATTGTGTATGTGTGTTAACAGCATGATTCACAGGATAATTGCCAACATGAAACCTGACATTAGATATAATTTCACACCAAGGAAGGGAAGGAAAAAACACCTCACCTCTCTTCCAGCTGTTGGAGATATTTTCTCTGCTCGTCTAAATTTTTATTGGCCATTTGAAGTGCGCCAGTCAGAACTTTCTCTCTCTCCTTGGCCCTCCTCTCCAGCTCCTCTCTCTGCTTCTTCAGACTCTCCACCTCCATGCTTCTCAGCTCTCTCTCTTTATCTTCACTGATTTTCTCATACTTCTCTTCCACCTCTTTCCTCTTCCTCTCAGTTTTTTCAAACTCATCTCTTAAAGCTCTGGTTTTCTCTTCCAGCTCATCTCTTATGTTCTTTTCTTTCGCTTCTGCTTGTCTTTGTAAGTCCATGCGAAGTCCCCTCTCCCACTCCAGCCTGCCCAGCTCCAGTGCCTCTCGCTGAGCCTTCTCTCTCTGGACAGTCTCTCTCAGTTCCTGGAGCTCAGCCTCCTGCAGAGCCAGCTGGGAGTGGAGCTGATGGAACTCATGAAAAATGAGGTAGCTCACACCACAGTAACGACACACCGTCTCACTGTGCTCCATCTGAAGGGAAAATGTGCACAATTTGTTGGAAATTTTAATAGTAATAAGTAATAATAACATTAGTTTAGAAGTACAAAACCTAAGAAAATGTGTTAAACATTTTTGCGAGTAGCTTGTCATAGCCACATCTGTCTCTGAAGACAACTTTAAAGCCCCTGAAAATTACAAACTACATCTTCACAGTAGGTACTACTGATTAAGAGTTAACAATCTTAGATTCTGACTGAAAAGCAGCACCAAAGTTTAATTGGTGCATGTTTTCCCAATGAAGCACCAGCCACTTTAAACCCTCACTTCAAATCATGAAGTAATGAAAGATGACTAAGAAAATGTGTTTTCAAGACAAATGGGTGGCTAAAACAAACACCATGTGTTTTCAAAGGTGAAACCTATCACTGGTTCTCTTCTGTTTAATGCTGTGGAAATAATCCAGTTGGCACAGTAAACAAGCTGATTAATCAAAATGGACACAACACTGGCACAGGTTATTGCTGCACAACAACCTACTCTGATACTGAGTAGACAGTTAACTCATAGGATTACAGCACATCAGTTCACTAAGAAGCTATGGATTAAATACATAAGACACAAACCACCATCCATCCATTATCTATACCGCTTATTCCTGAATAGGGTTCACGGGGGGGTTGGAGCCAGTCCCAGCTGACACTGGGCAAGAGGTGGGGTCCACCCTGGACAGGTCACCAGTCTATCACAGGGCTGACATGTAGACAAACAACCACACACACTCACTCCTATGGGCAATTTAGAGTCGCCAATCAACCCAAGCTGCATGTCTTTAGACTGTGTGGAGGAAGCCGGCGTGCCCACAGATAACCCACACAGGCACAGGGAGAACATGCAAACTCCACACAGAAAGGGCTCAAACCCGGAACCTTCTTGCTGTGAGGCAATAACGCTAACCACCGCACCGCTGTGCCACCCCACAAACCACCAATATGAACAAAATAATTCAGTGAATGGTAAAGACATACTGATTCTTGTCATGTTGATATGAAAATGACAGAGTGTAGATGTGAAAAAAATTACAAATACTTATACTATACATTAGAGTGTGGCTACCCGAACCAAGCCTGAAAGCACTCGTCGGCGCCCAACGGTTTGGGCTGGGTTCAGACAAATTTAGAAATTATGTTCGGGTCCAGGTAGGGTTCGGACATGTAGGTCAATCTTCAGGCTAGACGGCTGGAGCACTCAAATGCCTGCTTCGTTTACCGATAAGGGGAAAAACACAGCACAAAATCAAATGCATCAAGCTTGGGTCAGATTTGGACTTCACACTCTGGCTCAGGTCGAGTTTGGACATTATATACTATAAGCTTTACAGGTCTGGTTTGGGTTCGGATGCCACACTCTAAGGCACGGGTCAGGTTCAGACAGAAATATGCAGCCCGATCCATGCTCTACTATGCATCTTGTGGGATATGTGCTGACTGGATATCCCATTCTGATACATCTGTGTACACCATCGCAGTCAAGAATTGTTTCTAGCATTGTGACTATTCAAGAATTAATTAACCACGGACTGACGGGAGTGGTAGTTTACGTGGAGTTTTTGACTGGACTCATCAGAGGTTAAGACAGAACAGCTAAATGTAGAGGGAAATAACAGTAACAGCTAAAAAGTGAAATATGTAGTCAGATGACTTTCAAATAGTATTTGAAAGTTTCATTTTCTTGTCCTTTGTGGTGATCTACAACTACAAACCAAGTGGAATAAGTGCTAAGAGCATAAACATGACAAGCCAGTCAAGCAGAAAGACTGACAGCAAAATAATGGCAGCTGCTGCTTGAAAGTCTTCTTCCCGATAGACACTCAAATGGATTTTATTGAATGATCGCCATCTATGTCGTTCCTATGTCTCTCCTCCCGCCTCTGCTTGCTTTCTTCTTCTTCATGATAAGAGAGGAGTCAGAAAGAATGACAGGGTGACAGACAGAATATATACCGTCACTTGAAAGTGCTTTTGACATGACAAATGATTGACAGGTGACACTTTTAAAAAGATAAAGCTTCTCTCACTCTCTCAGTCTGTCCATCAGCTACATCTGACTTTCTCTCTCCATTCCCACATATCACAATGGTGGCTTGGTCTCTGTTAAGAGCTTGCCTATCCATGTCAGGTGAAGGTGCCTCATGTCCTCAGGACAGCAGGAGTCTGTCTTTTAGCAGCCACGACAGACAGAAAGACAGACCGGAGTTTTGGAAGAGCAATACACTCGCAAACAGTGAGAATAAGGCTACGCACATTTAGATCAAGTGTAGGCAATAGCAGCTCTGTGATGGCTTGCTTTGAGTTAAATGGTAGCATCGGCATGCTAACATGCTCACAATGCTACTATGCTGATGTTTATGCTAACATTAGCTAGTGTGCACAAAGAACAGCCAACACCCTGAAAAGAGGAGTAAAAAACAATATGAGACTTGACTCCTGATCACTTTTTGTAGCAATCTGTATCATATGTAAAGTATATCTTGTCCTTGCAGGGTTCCCTGTGTGTTTGGATGGCTGTATAACAAACCAGAGTTGTACAGTTTCACTATAAGGTGTATCAAACATTTTCCTTATGTATGTGTAGAGACATATATAAGAAAAAATGAGACAAAGAAGACAGAAAGGGTGAGAAGGAAGTATATAAGTGTGGGTGGTGAAAATGCTCAACAAGTACAGCGCATGACATTGTGTTGCCACAAAATGCACTCTGGAGAATATGGGTTATAATCTGTTTCTGGTGGAGTGTGTAAAGAGAGAGTCACACACGCAGTGAGAGCCAGAGACACAGAGTGCGTGCAAAGGTGAGCAACATTTAGGACTGAGGCTCAGGGGGTTTTGGTGTTTACTGTGCACATGTCCTCATGGTTCCTGCAGGTACAGACACAGCAAAAACTACTGTGTGTGGGTGTGTGTGTGTGTGTGTGTGTGTGGTGGTTGTATTTTGTCCAAAAATGCTTATGCATGTAAACTGGTGTGCACGCATGTGTGCGGAAGGGATGTGGTGGGGGAGTTCTTTATGCAAGTGATGTAGTTATGAAGAGAGACAATAAGGGGGAGTACACAACAAGTGACCTGACACACACAGACACACAGACATGCACAAAGACAGAGGTAAGTTTCCTAACACTAACAGCCAAATGGCATCAAAATAACACAAGGGTAGATAACAGACACAGACAGAAATATACACACACAGATGCACAGACTAACAGACACATTAAGATACAGAAGCATGAACATGGGAACAAACAAAAGACACAGATGAGGACAGACATGTACAAAGGCAATTTTACACACATAAGCATCTTAAGACAGACAGAAAACTCACAATCTTTCACCCTTTACAAACAAACACACACCCTGTGGACACAGTGTATGCACCACTAGTGGGTTGTGTGCTCCCATGCCTGAGCTTGGCCCCACAGGGAGACCCCTTGCCTTGGGCATTGGCACGTTCACTTAGCACTCAAACCACAAAAACACCCCCTCCACACACACGCACACCCCCCACAGGCAATACCTGAAAGGAGCAGAGAAGAGAGGAGAGGAGATGAGTTGAATGAAACAAGGAAGTGATAGAAAAAGAGAGAAAGGTCTTGTTGCCCTTTAAATGCTTTGTGTCAGCAGCCAGCTGATACTTCTCTTGTACACACCAAACCTCTTTGTCCTCTACTGCATACACACCACTTCCGTGGCTCCCCTCTCTTAACTCACTTTCATCCTGTCCCTATCCATTAGCAACTGGACTGTTGCCAAAAGTAATTTAAACATTAAATTTCAAGACAAATACAGCTCTTATCCTTGTACCACACTGGTCTAATTTATCTGGTAATGATTATTTTATTATTATATATTGTGCTAATAAATATTTTTTATGGGCCTATTATAAAGTAAACATATTGTCAACCCATGCGTAATGCCTCAAGGTACATCAGTGATCTATTAGCTATGTGTGTGTCTCTGTTACAGTCAATAACCAGAAAGGAGAAACACTGAGTCCTGTACCCGTTACTCTACCTAACAAGTAGCAAGACTTCTCTGTGTGGAAGTGTTTATCTGTGTTTTGTGACTTGGACCCACTGCACAGTCCATGTCATCAGCACACTATCTCCATATTCCATCAATTAAACATGAGGCCATTACCTCACGCCTGATGTTAAACATTAGGAGTGTGTGTGTGTGTGTGTGTGTGTGTGTGTGTGTGTGTGTGTGTGTGTGTGTGTGTCTCTGTATTGCTTATATTTAAGGGACCGAAGCCTGTTAACACACTCACACTGTGGGGACTCACTGAATTTTAGGGTGGCTAAATGGTTTAAAGTTAGGGTGATGAGTCAAGGTTAGTGGTTACGGTTAAGGTTAGGATAAGTCTATAGGAAATGAAATGAAAGAGAAACGAAAACACAGTGTGTAGTTTGTGTGTGTGTGTGTGTAGGGGGGTATTCTGTGGGTGGTTTGTCTGTTAGCAGGATGAGAATCATACTTAATTTATGTGATGCCATATTGACTGTCTGCATGTCTGCCTGCAAATGTCTGCACTCACTGTCTCATGCACGGAAGGTGGACCGGCAGACAAAGCAATGAGTGCTAATTTTCCCAGTTTGACAACTCCTCTCCTACAATCATTACACCTATCCTTTCCTCTATTACCTGTTGCTTATCTCCTATTTGCTCCTTGCATCCCTTTCCATCATCTTTGTCCCCCTCTCCCCCCTTTGTCCCCCTCTCACAGGAATTTCCCCATTGTGGGATCAATAAAGTCCTACCTTACCTTCTTCCCCCCCTCTTCCTAAACAACTGTCCTTACTCTTCCTCTGCTCCTCTCCCTTGTCCACCTCCGCCTCCTCAGCTACAGCTGCAGTGACCCATCTGGCTGATCAAAACAGCAGAAGTAGGTCACTGTCACGAACATGGACCTTTCATGTTACACATTCATATGCACAGACATCAGACATGCCTCCACGCAGTGCACCTCCCGTGTCCAAA